AAAAGTTGGAAGCAGAAGAAAAAGTTTGATACTCGGCCATCCACGGTACAATATGTTATATATTAATGTTATAGAAAATTTAAATACATAGTTAAAAAAGGTACTTGCATTACATAAAATAATGGAAAGTAAATAATGAATCATTGTTTTAATTTTATTTTACACACCATTTATTGTAAATAAGAACTTCTTCATAATTAACGTCTTAATTTCTGAACGCAAAAAATAGTAATTTTAGGTACAAAAGCGACGATCGTTTGTAAGAGAGATCTATTGAATTGTTGAATAGTTATACATTAAACTATAGTACTTTATTTCAAACTGCACAACATAAATGAGATATATTTTCCTTACGTTATCCGGAATGGAATGCAGAAGATCCGTCGGGACGTAAGGTTCTACAGCATGACACAATGAATACAAGGTCGGATCTTGCGTCGATTTGCGTGACGTCAGTGGAAATCACTGCCTGGCGTGCTTTTTTCCTGTCTGCTAAATGTGATTAAATATAGCTTATTTAGTCTTTGTCACATTTAATTATTTTTGTCCTCCTTATAATTACAAGATGCTTTGCAGCAGATTTGTCCATTTAATTATTTTAATCCTCCTTATAATTACAAGATGCTTTGCAGCAGATTTTAGACTTGGAAATTAAAAGTAACGAAAATGTATTTATTTTGCAGACTAGCACAGTTGCCAGTTGTGCAATAAAGTATAGCGTTAGCTGAAAATGTATCCTTGCAGAAATAGTACACTACGATTCACGAGACGGAAGTTCAAACAATGACGCAATGTTACTTTCCTATTATTTATGACGGAATATGCGGTTTGTGGTGCCGCAGATTAAATGTAAATTTTAATACAAATGAAATGACTGCACACCGCATTTTTTATATTTCTGAACCGACACTTAAAAGTAGCAAATAATCTAGAGTACACTTTCCAACTACCAATCGTAAAATGCTCAGTTTTGTCTACAAAATTTCCAAACATGCCTAAACGCATTGACCCCATGATGCAATGAATTCATTGTACGACAATGAATTCATTGTATGATACAATCAATTCATTGCATGAACAGTGCATTCATTCATTGTGATTCAATTAATTCATTA